TTCTCTAAGTCGAGTTTCCTATATATATTATGCATAAGGAGTAAGCCCGGGTTCGGAAAGGGGGCTCTTTTCCATTTAGAGCGAAGATAAAAAATGAGCCAGATGCAGCTAGTTTTGGAACGAAACTATAAATTTTTTCTGAAGGCCTCACAGTCTCCCGCTATCCTAGTTTACCGCGTAGAAGATGTTGTAAACTGTGAAAGGTCGCAAAAGCTTCGACTGAAAAATACTTTAGAGACGTCTTCAATTTGGAGAGAACCTTTTAAAGTACTCGCATCTCTTTTAGCGTAGAAGTAAGCGCTTTTCTCTTGTCGGTATGGCCCACATAGCTATTAGATGGTAAAATTTAACTGAACCTTAGAATATTCGAGGATTTTATCAAAGCTAGTAGTATTGCTGGTCATAAAACTGACATCGGACTCGAGCCTAGTGGCGCAATTTGGAGCGGGCTAGCTTGGGCACTACCGGAACACCGATAGTTCTTGCCCGGGCCCCGAGAAAAATCAAGTAATAATTGGTATTGAAGCGTTGGTCTTTTTCATATATTCAATGATTCTTAAAAACCGTTTGTGAATGATTTTTACAGTATATTCCAGCTAAATATGTCAATTTGACACATCCTGATATTTTGACTAATATTATAATTCGTGAAACTAATGAACATAGTTATGAATTAAAACTTTCTAAGATGCATGATGATAATATCAATTTCTCTAGTGAATATAAACTTGATTTCCGCTTATATACTGAGTTGAAAAAAGAGAGAGTGGAAAAACCTCTATTATGATAATTAAGAGTCTGATTATATTTTATCGAGCAACGCGAAGGAACTATTGATTGAAATAAACATAATCTATTAGTTTTTTATATAATAATCGACTGTATTCCACTTGCGATGAATAGTCGCTTTTGCGGAACAAATATTGAAAATCTTCATTGTACTTCATCGTCATCACCTGCTAGCTCGACGTTTTGAGAAGTATTAAAAATGGAACTTTCATGAATAAAGTTAAAAAGTGAAATTCATCTGTAAATACTGAACCAAAAGTAGTGAACCGAGGACAATCGTGTAACCATCAAAATTTACAGAAGTGATTAATCTGTACCTTGAAATATTTCCAGGACAACATGCATTCCTAATCATTATATTCCTTCTTATAAAAGCTATGGAATTTCTCATATGTCTACTACAACCGAACGAACTTTCAGGGGAATTAAGTTAATTCCAAGTGTTTTGGATATTAGCATGCAGGACACGAGGCTCAAAGCCACTGATTTATCAGTATTTGCATCCGAAAAAGATGTTTGTGTTAATTAGGAAAAAAGATTATTGATATTTTTTCTATATAATATAGGAACAGCTGAATAATGCAGAAAGAGTCACTGTTGAGTTTCTCTCTTTCTTGCTATTGCTAGCCCTTATTTGAAAGAATGGTAAAATATGTTGTTTTGACTTTGTCCTAATCATAGGGGAACAAAGATTGGAAGATTTAAGTGAGCCATAGAAAATATTTTTACTATTGTCAGAGAGTTTCTCAAATGTGTAGGGCGGCGCCCGGACACCCATATTTTTCTGATTACGCCACTACTCCAGCCACGAAAGTTAAGCTAATTACGACGCGGTTGATGAACATGATGTTTAGCTATGCTTTCTATCATTCGGACTTGATTGCTCGAGAAGACTGTCTAGTGACAGCTTTGAAATCAGATATTTTATTTGACCGATCAGAGAATGGGATTGCCTGACTGTAACGATAATGATATCATTCATTTCTTCCTGTTCTCTATTCTCTCACCTCTATATCATACTTTCACCGGTTCATCTCTCTCTTTCTCTCTCTCTCCTCTTCTCTATATAATCGCGTGTCTTATTGTGACATAAGCATATTCTGGTCATGTAGAATAGTCAATAAACATGACACCGTGTACAGCGGTTAACTACTCAACCAGTTTGTCGTTACACTGACTTGGACAAAAACTCATGGAAAAATAGCTCACTAGAGATCGTACTCATCGGAAAGAGCTGCAGTGATGATTTTGAGGCGCAGTCATTACGGTTCGACTTACTCCTATCGGAAACACTTTTTGACATTCACTTAAGTCTCAACTAGAATCCGATGTTTTCACATTTATTTATTGATGTTTAACTAATTGATCACTCCCCAAGTTTATTCCTAAGAATATGGCTCGTTCAGAAAAATGAGTTCACCTGATGCAGAATTTCACTCTGCACCCAACGAACTTATTTTTATGGACGAAATTTGCTCATGTAGAAAATTCTAGATGGTTCTTTATTTCTTCGTGACAGCTCCGGTCGTACTATTTTCACATCGATCTACGTATTTTCCACGTCATACATCTTTCAGATCCACAGTATAAGCTCACCACCCTCGTAGTCGTTATATGATTCTTATATCCGAGTGAAGAAGAAGACGTTCGATAAAAATTAGTGAGTTCTGTTTGTTTTCTTGTCTATGAGAAAAATTTTGAGGTATACTCCGAATGTCCGTCAGGGTTCCACGTCACCGACTTATAAACCCTCCCGGTGAGGGTAATACATTCTTTTAATTACAAATTTCGCTAACATGAAGACCTATCGATGATTTGTGGAAAAAAATCATGCGAAAAAAAACTTTCATTCCTTTCCAGGCTGCAATATCGTTCTATATAGAGTCCGCACGGGCAAGCAACGCCCTACATTCAGGGAAATCGCCGCTACAAACCCACAACATCCTCAAGCAATGTCGCTTTTGGAGCGCGGACGTAGCACTAAATCTCGAAGTGTTCGGACTCCGTAGGCATCGCTTCCAATACGTAAAGTCACGATTCATTATTGCGTTCACAACTATTCAATAGGCTAAACTACTATATCAAAACGCCCATGCGAAAGATATGCTCACATCCATTCTTCCGAATTGAACGATACTCAACAGTCAGGTACAAATCGTACTCACACCAAAACGTCACACAAAAATCCTATTTTCTTCCCAAAACATTATGCGAGCCTGAATATCACGCTCAAACGCACTAGAAAAAAACGATGCAAACCACAAAAAACTACGCTCCTTCTCTTAGAAGTCGTCTCATCGCAAGCGCTACAACGTCCATCACCCACTCTAACAACTCACCCGAGAATCTTCCCACAGCTATACAACTCTTCCAACAGATCAACTCGGAGAAACCTTTCCCGATGCCATACCCATTTCAGTCATTCAACAACCAGCGGACAAACGCGCAGCTCCCATCACACTCACAGCAAAAATGCATGAATCATGCGGGCACAAACCTTTTCCTCATACCCGACGACCGAATATGCGCAATACCTTTGACGTCGACGGCGAATAGACTAATTCCAAAAGCTCGATCATCTAAAACGGCTTCCGCTACGCACTTCATTAACTAAGAACGTCTCCCCAGCGGTCCAACCCACACCTTCGCCCATCGAAAGCTGTACGCCGCACACCATACCTATACTATCTACCTACGACTACCACATAAACTGTCACGAATCGCCGTTTAATCTCACACACCAACACACAACAAAGTACCCAACTAGAAATCGCAACTATCACATACCAGTAAACACACAACAACACTGCACCGAACAACCGACTTCTTCTTACCTGTAACTTGTTTTCCAGTTACCGCATGCCCTGTACTTTGTTTCTTCTCATCGCTCTCCGAGCTTGAGCTGGAGTCATCCTCATCTGGTTGATTTTCGTTTGTGGCGGCGTCTGTCAAGTCCTTCTCCTTGCATGTTTCCTTCAACGATTTGATGACTGTATCGTGATGGGCCTTGTTGC